TATGGAGGTACTTAAAGCGGATGGCTCTCTCCTTGAGTTGATCAATATGTCGTCGCCATACTGTATTTGGTCCGACTCTGACTTCGTAGGATAAGGGTCCAGGGTGAGCTGTGATGATACCAGGAACCCACTTATCTCCGCTTCTGTAGTTTCGTGCAACGACAGCTTGACCTACGGTTAACTCACGGGTAGGGTTGTGGCTGGATCGTAACTCTTGGTCTTGCTGCTTTTCTTCCACTCGCTTCCGTATGTTAGGCTTCAGTATGTCGATTTTCATTCTTAGGTTTCTTCCCATGAGGAGTACCGCTGGTGCCTCTCCAGTCAGCGCATGTGGTATCGTTCTGTAGGCTAGCAAGAAGTTTGCCAGCTTCCAGGAGAGGGTTTTCTTCTCAGTCAGTGCTGCGGGTAGAGCTTGTTTGAATTTCTGTGCAAAACGTTCAGCGCTTCCATTTGTAGCTGGGTGATACGGTGCTGACCTTCTGTGTTTGATACCATTATTCCTCAGGAATGTTCTGAATTCGTCTGATGTGAATTGTGGGCCGTTATCACTGACCAGTTGTTGTGGTAATCCGTGTGTCGCAAACAGCTTTCTTAGTTCCTCAATTATTCTTGCAGCGTTTGTAGTAGTCATTGGTATTACTTCGGGCCATTTTGAGTGGCTATCCACGACAATGAGAAACATTGTTCCCAAGAATTTTCCCGCAAAATCTATGTGGATACGTTGCCATGGGCGTGCTGGCCACTCCAATGTATGAAGTGGGGCGGTCTTAGGATTGTTCTGGGTGAGTTGACAGCGTTTCAGTGTTTCCTCCAGGTGGGCGAGATGCTCTTCGTCATCTTTTCCTGTGATTATCATATCGTCTAAGATGCAGCTTGTTCCTTCTATTCCTTCTAAGATTTGATCCATTGATCTCTGCCAAATGGCTGGGGCTGACGTTATCTCAAATACCAGGCGATTGTATCGGTACAGTACTTGACGGGTGTTGACTGTCAGGTACTCTTGTGACTCTTCTTCCACTTCCATCTGGTGGTATGCCTGTCTAAGGTCGATTTTGGTGAACTTCTTCCCCCCTGCCAGCTTAGCAAAAATGTCGTCAAAGCGACGGAGAGGCTCCTCTGACTGCAGTTGGGGGTTTACTGTGATCTTATAGTCACCACAGATCCTTACTGTACCGTTTGGTTTGACAATGGGTACAATAGGCGTCGCCCAGTTGCTGAAGTTGACTTTGCTCAGTATTCCTTCTTCTTCTAAACATTTCAGCTCAACTTCAACTTTGGGTTTCAAGGC